TTTTGATTCAACTTCTGAAGAGTCCGAAGCTGAAGAGCCTATTCGTTCTTCAGGTGAACAGGCTCAACGACCTATTCCAGGTAGCTTTCCAGATAGTTACATTGCCACTCCTGCAACGGAAAATCGTAATGCTATGGAAGAGAGATTGTCGGAATCTCCAGTACAAGTTTCTCCAATTACACCGACGAATTCTCATCCACCAGCACTCATGGTAGATACGTCTAGTCAAGAAGAGCCACCGTCACCGATGTCGTCATCACATTCACCTTCGCCTGACCTGATTGACAATGACGATGTTAAGAAGGGCACTGGAAGCTCTACCACTTCAGCATCAACACCTACATGGAGTGACTCGCATCTTAGGACATTCTTTGATGATGACACAGATATTAGAGATTTATTAGTTGTTGTCTACGACAAATCAGGAGTAGTACCAGCAGGATCAGATCATCCAGTTGTGGGTAATCTTTTCAAAGAAGAGAATGCCAAATTGGCGGATATAACCAACGTGAGTTTTTGATGAACGTGGAAACAAAATTACATTATACTGACTATATTATAGCGCTTGGATGGAATGCTTGGTGATTGGTTAGCTCGCAAAATGAGGACACAATCTTCAAGATGAACGCTCCATAAAATTGTATATCTTACATGAATCAATGAATTTATGATGAGGCCGGACTGGTTTGGGCACAATTTCTGGCGCTACTGGGAAAAGGAGGGTTGGTTTGGCAATGGGGGAGGGGATACCTTATACCACAACATTGGATCTTTGAAAGATTTGTTCATTCAGCATTGGCAGGGACACCTTGTACATAGTCCTTCTTGCATTGTCGGCTTGTTATTTTTGATTCTGCTTTTTTTTCTCTACTTTTATAATGCTCTTGATGAGTCTATATATCAAAAGATTGCTTTTATTCGCGGCTACACGCAAGGTACACACATACACATGATGTAGTATGAAACTTTTCGTCCACTTCGGTAAAATCTGAATTGATCTTGATTCAAGTACTGCATTACTTGCATTGTTTGTTCTGTAGGTGATGTGCATGAAGTGATAATATTTACACCATGTAGTCGTCAAATAGCAAACAAACGGCGACTATCGCGCGAATTGCAGCTGTTTCTTAGTACTAATGAGATGATGATGAAGATCAACACCTGTTTACATTAAATACTCTGAGGATATTTATGGGGGCCGTTCCCCTAGGTATATTTTAACGCTCGCGATTCCAAATTAGGGAATGGCCAATTAATTTCTCCGAAGTACTATTCGTTGGTTAATGTGTAGATCCTAGTCTGAAGTAATGTCATGATTTCATTGGATATTGTATGCTTCTGTTTGTGGCTGGTTGGGTGGGAATTGGAGAGGAAATTAGAAGGTCGTTCATTTATTATTGTTATATTGGACGCAAACATTATACACGGAGGTAATGTTACCAACTTACCATACTCGTAGGGCAAATTACAGCCGTGATATGGTGCTACTTGTTCCCACACACTCTCAGTGATAAACTCCTCCCTACTTTTCTAGACAATCTGATGTCAGCTTTTCTGGCTTTCAGATGTGTGATACCAAAGTTGTTTTGAATACTACCATTGACGGTCATCTAATTCTGATACATTTTCACCCTCATAGGACGACACTACTACCATTTGAGGCATTTACTCATTTCATCCACTGAGAAACCCGTTAAGCCGCCCGCTTCACTCTGAACCATCGATGATTACTTTGTGCTCACTCTGCGACCCAGCTCGTCAGCCATAAAAAGAAAAGAAGAAGGCTAACTTACCGGCGAACCCACCAGCGGCTTCTTACTCCTACTCCATAGATTTAAGCGCAGAGCTTTGACCTCGCCTTCATAGAAGGTTAAGCGACTTCATCTGCACCTACGATTCTTGTAAGGAACTTGGTTTGAATCGCCGCGACAAAGCCTTTTGCTCTATTTTGCGCAACATTACCATTTTTCTTTTGAAATATAATTATGGCATTCGAGTCCGGCACCGCATATCCGGAATCTGATGCGGACGACGAGTACGAGAGAAGTGTGCATAACAGTTCCCCGGTCCTCGCCAACGATTCAGAGGATTCCGATGGCCTTTCTTCCAGCGAGCACACCCCAACTACGTATGGTAACCATGGCATCATGGATTCTTTACCAGATTCTATCATAACGGAATGGACGGCAGATGATTGCGCCGATTTTGTAGGTAGTCTGGGACTGCGGCAGTATGGCGATCAATTCTTAGGTATGCTTTAAAGCAATATTGGTTGTCCTTAACCTCTTATCTAATTGAGTGGGATAGAAAACGAAATTGTTGGGGAAGCATTGGTGGCATTACAGCATACCGACCTAAAGGAGATGGGAATAGCAAGTGTGGGACATCGACTCACAATTCTGAAGAACGTTTACGACATCAAGATTAAGCAAGACGTGCCTATTGAGAGTGACCACTATGTGCCACTTTGTGAGTTGGTCGATTGGATGGTACCGGATAATCAAACTGACTTCATTTGCAGCAGCGGACGCCGAGGCCCAGTATGCCACCGCGACACTCAAAGACATCAAAAATCTTGTCGAACAATTACGATTACGAGACGAACGAATGAGCGTTGCAGAGATGGAATTACGAAGGCTGACGTCTGAGTACACTCGATTGAGGGAAGATCTCTTACCGGTATTTCGAATGCATAAGGAAGGGCAGCCTTTGCCATACCACCCCCCCGGGACCAACAATCAAAGCCTATATTCTTACGATAATAACAATACGATATCACCTCCTGCACCTACACCCTCTTCAAGTCAATCAGGTGGGCTCTCGCGGAAGTTCTCAACAAAAAAGCTGTTTCTGGAATCAACGCCAAAGAATGCGTCTCCTACATTCAATTTACAATCTAGCCAGGATAGATCTATGATGGAACACGCTCTTGATCCTGCAAATGCTGCCGAGCGGGCAGTCCTCTCTTCTTCACACCTCAATGCTATGAATAACGGCTCTCAATCACTGTCACCTGGACAACCTTCGCCCAATCAACCCTCTCCGACTTCCCCTCCTTCCCATATGAGTGGATCCACTTTAGCCTCACGCTCGTACCGATCCGATCAACAACCTACTCCAGGCCGCAGCAATTTCCCTCAGAACGACAACGACCAATATCCTCCATCGACATACTCTCGCGACAGTACCAAACCAGCACCCTCACGGCGAGCCCAAACACCGGCCCTTGAACCACCTTCTGGTGGGGGTGGTGCCTCAGTCGAAATATTCAAATCATTCCGCGTCAGTATGGAAGACCCATGCTACAAGGTTTTACCTGCTGCATTAAAAAAATACAATATCAACGCACCCTGGGAACAATACGCTTTATACATCGTCTATGGGGATAAAGAAAGATGTTTGGGTATGGAAGAAAAACCGCTGATTCTCTTTAAACAATTGGATAAGGAAGGCAAAAAGCCTATGTTCATGTTGAGAAAAATCAGCCCCAATACGGAACCTGGCATACAAGATGTCCCTGGAAGCGCGGGTCTGGACGGTAGAAATGGTGGTCGCGGTGGAAACAATTCCATATACGACCCTCCCGGCGGCATTATATGATCTAATCGAACATTTGGGTTGGACATTATTTCTTGGAGTTGCTGCACTGGTTTACACTGCATAGCGAAAGTAGGCGATATCACCAATTTTTGGGATAGTGTATGTGTATTGGAAACGGAATTTTGGAGATTACAATTCAGGGTCAATCCAGTTTATTATTTTTTCGGCTAGCTAGCTGTTTTGGTATCTTTTGGTCATATTTTTATATGAGGCGTATCATGAGATGAATGGTTGAATACTCGGTTTTTGGTCGAATTTGACTGTGGAAGGGAGTTCTTGGATGAAACTCGTGGTTGGGACATACGGGTAGCCGACAGGGACAAGTCAACCTTGGGACATTTTCCTTGGGCAAAGCTGAGAGGGGCTGGGTTGGCTTGCGTGGAAAAGGAACACTAGGAAATAGGAAGACATTTAAATCAAATGAAGACGATTTATTATTGGATATCCGGCAGAAATCTACAGAGATTTACAGAGATTTATCGATTGACAACTTTTCTGTCTTGACTTGAGTTTTTAGATAGGTTTCATGTTGATTAGTAGGGATTAATATTCTTCGACTAATTGATTTAGGTATCCTGTCTAACAGGTAGCCAGCCTTGAAGCATTTGATAAACATTTGCAGACCCTCTCGTACAATACGTGGAGAAAGCCTATCTAGATGCAATCGGAATCTGCTGGATACCTAGGTACTTAATCAGTGTGCGAAGCCTCCCTCGGGTAGAAGAGTACGTAACCTGAGTATAATATCATCGAGAAACAAATTTCGAAGCAGCGAATGAGCATGCTTAACTTCCTGGTGACGATACCAATGGTATGGATATAGAGAGAAGCTTATATAAGCAAATCGGTTACAATACTAAAGGATCAACGATGTAAAAATAGAAATTGGCTATGGGGATAACGATGCCGAAACCTAATCGAACCAATAAACGTTTATAAAGCACGGAGGTTGTTTGCAGATCTGATTCATCAAGGAATATTCCAAGACATCTTCTTTTACTCTGTACAATGGTTACGCGTGGTGAATGCATGTGAGCGGGAAGGCTCAGCCTCATCTACGGGCACTTCAGATACTTCATAGCCCTGTGAAAAGGGTAATGGATATCCACCTTGCGCATTTGAGTTGATACGTAAGGTTGCTGGTAGGTATATATCATACACATATCATATTAACTCTGTACGAATCGTATTCGCAGCGGTGCCGAGATTTATCAGATCTGCCTAGCTACTACTACTACTACTACTACTAATTCTGCTCTGTGTTTCAGAGTGATAATCAAGAAACCTCCAACACATCATCCCTTTACCCATTTGCTTCTGAACGATTTGAAAAGCCTTGAAAGCCCAACCACACACATCCTGGAGCTTGCCCCCCTCCCGCTCAACTCCATCAAATCATCATGCTTGACGAAAACCTCCCCACCTTCTTCTTCAAAGCATCGACCGATACCCCTCTCTCCACACCCATCTTCCTCCGTCAGATGGCCTCCGACCTCCAACCCGAATACTCTTCCGCAGACCTTGACCCCAACTTGGCCGCCTCGAAAAATGCTACGCCCGTCGCCCTCTACGATTCCTGCAACCGGACGTCCTCTATGCCGAAGTCTGGTCCAGCCAGAATGGACGCATCCCACTCTCCCAGGCCGAAGTGCGCGCGCAGAATGGCATTCCTCCCCCGCCCGTCCCCATCGTGCCGAATGCTTTCACCATCCAATTGTACAATCCGGATCAGCAGGTGTGGGTGAAGCAAATCGCGGGGTCGTGGAATAGTTCGGCGTATTGGGAATTCGAGATGCCGCAGATTAGTTTCCGGGCCCCGTCGGCGTCGGCGCTCGATCGCAGTCAGAGCGATCCGGCCTTCTCGGTCCTCACGCCGAAAGTGGCGTTTAAGTGGAAGAAGGATGGGAAGTTCTCGAAAGATTTGTCATGTTTCCTGTCGGGCAAGACGGCCGAAGGGAAGAGGAATAAGGAGCCGGATATTCCGGTGGCTATGTTTAAAGGGGGGAAAGATCTCACCATTTACCAACCCAACATGCATCGAGTTGATGTTGAAGATTTCAAGGGTCTGGAGGTGGTACTTTTGCTCTCGGCTGCAGTGATTAAGGATATATTCTTCAATGCCAGTCGCGAAATGTTTAACATAAGTTCACCCAATGAAAGTCTGGGGGCGTTGCGCAAGCGCAACAACAGCGGTCCCGTCATTCGAGAAAATGGCAGGCCTTCGATATCTCCCGTGATGTCTGGGGGAATCAGCCCGGTCTTCCGCCCGTCGTACTTCGCATCCGCTTCCGACGGGGCCCTCGCCCCCGCCAACCGTAAATGCGCGCACGCAGTGGGAAATTGACGCCGAAACCGCGCGTCTCAAAGCGTTGGTGGAAGCTGAGGAGCGGGAACGCCAGCGCGTGGAATTGTTGGAAGAGAAGCGGATTAAGAAGATGCTGGAGCAGGAAGAAAAGGAACAGCGGAGAAGAGATGCCGAGATTGCAAAGGAGACGGAACGTTTGAGGAAACAGTATGGTGTTATGCCTGTGAATGGGAATGGGAATGCGAATGCGAATGCGAATGTCCATCCGGGAGCGAGAGTTCAGTTTGCGCCGCAGCAGGCGCCGCAGAGACCGACGATTACAACGCCGTATAGTGCGCCATATAGTGCGCCCATGCCGGCGAGACCGATGAGTACCGGGCCCGGTCCGGCGGGCTATGCGATGGGGATGGGGAGTGGATTTGCTGGGGCGGGTGGTCCTTCGTCGTCGTCGCAGGCGAGACCGCAGGCGCAGATCAATAGTCCTTATTTGCAAGCGCCGGGGAGGGGGACGGCTAGCTCGAGTGGATTTTTTGGCGGGAAGAAGATGACGAAGGTGCAGAAGAAGAGGAGTGTTTTCTTTTAGGGGGGAGGTGTGATTGTGGGGTTTGTGAAGAGGAGGGCTGCATGGTGTGGATGGGGATTGGAGTGAAGAGGGTGAAGAGGGTGAAGAGATACAATTGTGAAGCACTCTCTCGTTGTTGATGTTGATGTTGCTGAGATACCTGGGCATATTTACGGAGTTGGGGAAAAAGGTTCCGATGACTTTTCTTGGGAGATATGTCTACATAAGGTACTAGGGTGTTAGGTACCTGGGCATGATTCTCATACGTGCGGCTGAATTTGATATTTTGAAATTGTGGATGGGGAGTAGATGGGTTTTGTGTGTGTATTCATGGATGGATGGATGTGGGTGCTCAAAGATCGATGGATATATACATATAGCACCTATTAACCTATATATCTTATTTATCTCTTTGAAATGCAAATGTTTATATTATAGATGGCTCGATGGATGATGGGATGAATGGAGAATTGTAGGTAAAGAGATTAAGTAGCATTAATACACAAGTTATGGACTCTCCTATGATCCATGTTCCTGCTTAATTATATATATCGGAATTTCCGCTTATCCTTCTCTTCTTCTCTTCTTCTCTTCTTCTCTTCTTCTCTTCGCTCTTCGTTCTTCTTCTCTTCGTCTCTTCTTCTCTTCTTCTCTTCTTCTCTTCTTCTCTTCTCCCCAAATTTGAACTCAAACTTCAACCCGTGAACCAAATAACTAACTAACTACGAACAATCAAATTCTCTCACTCCCTTCTACTCCTTCATTCTCTCTCCTTCCTTTCTTTCTTTCTTTCTTCCTTCCTTTTCGTCCTCGCCCTCGTTTCCCTCATACCTATACAAAGCTTCCCGGCCCTCTACCAATTTTAAACTTCCTTCATTTCTATATATTATATATAATCCCTAGTATCTAGTATCTTTATATACCATTCTTTTCAATTTATAGCTCATACCCTATATTCATAATATATCCTCCTATCCTATCCTCATTCTCATTCTCCTCTTCGCTTATCTCATTCTCATTTTCATCCTTATTCCATCCTCACTCATCTTCGCTCATCTTCACTCATCCTCATCCTCACTTATCTCATCTCATCTCACTAACATCTCACCAATATCCCCTTTCCCCTTTCCCCAATCCCCTTTCCCCAATCCCCAATCTATACCTATCCACAAGTCTTCAAAAACACCAATCTCCAATCTCCAACCTCCAACCTCTAATCTCCTATATATATTAAATATTAAATACTAAACACTAAATACTAAAAAGCAAACCTCTATTTATTTATATTTAAATCCATATCCATATCCATATCCATATCCATATCCACATTCAAAATCCCCCTTCCCCTCCCCTAAGAAGTTTAACCACCCCATTCCAAGGACATTCCCGATAATAGGTTTTTATTTAACACCTCTCATTAATGATTTATAAGATATATATCTATATCTTATATCTATATCTATATCTATATCTATATCTATATTTATATTTATATCTATTTACTCTATCTACTCTACTCTACTCTACAACTCTACAAATACCATATACTAGTATTAGTATTAGTAGCCTTAACTTCAAAAATTCATTCTACATAGTCATCATTTCCAGGTTTATGTATGTATAATATATCTGATATAATATAATAAATGCATACGAGTATGCGAGTATGCGAGTATATATACAAAGTGAAACATGAGTTTTTCCGAGCAGGAAAGATATATATACATTAGAAGAATTAAAACAACGTATATATATATAAATAGTAAACACAGCACCCGCTCGCTCGCTCGCTGGCTCAGGGTATGTGTGTATCCAGAGCGCAGAGTATTGAAAGGGGGGGGGAGGCATCTCGTACCGTGCTCATGAAAATTATAATGTAGCGACACAAATTCGTTATTTCATTGTTTATTGTTTAATTACTTGCTTTTCATAAACCGATCTCTGTTTCTGTGTATGAAATCATCCTATCCCATCCCATGACATCCTATGCTATCCAGAATCGAAATCCACATATCCAAACCTCAGCCTATATCCTCATTCATTCCACCTTCGATATCCCATACTCAACTCCCTACATCATCTCTCAGATTTGTTCATAAAGTCATAAAATAATATACATATCGCGCTAGCCATGCTCTGCTATGCTGTACCATACCTCTCTCCATCTTTTCTAAATCATTTCTCAGTCCAAATGACATGATGATCTGATCTGTGAGATCCCGCAGCCGCTCTAATCGTACAAAACACAAACAAAACAAAAACCCTAAGAATTCTTATAAACATTATCGTTTTCAACCCAATCACACAGTCCCCATAAACTCTAATCTCCCACATCTCAAATAAGAAACCATAAACCCAATCCCCCATAAATCAACACCACGCCCGCTATCCACCTTTGTGATAGATTACCGAAATCAGTTGGCAAACCACCACTATTCGCATCGATATCAAACGGGCTTCCGCCTCCACTAATCCCATTCCCATTCCCATTATTCGATGCTGCGGTTGTTGTTGTTGCTGTAGTTTTTGTAGATGTGGATGTAGTGGATTGTGCTTGGGTCGTGGTCAGTGTTGTGCTGGTGCTTGTGTCTGTATTCGTATTCGTATTGGAAGAAGTAGATGTTGATTCTGAAGAATTAGATGTTGTGGATTTTGATGAAGTGGACGATGGTGATGATGATGTTTGAGTATTCGAAGTTTGAGCGGAACTCGAAGTATCCGTAATCGTAGATTGGGTCGTCGTAGGAAGCGCAGAGAATGTCGTTGTAGCAGCAGTAAAACTAGAGCTTTGGGATGAAGTCGAAGTCGATGTCGGAGTTGGACTTGGAGTTGGACTTGAAGTTGAAGTTGGAGTCGATTGCGAAGTCGACGATGTAGTACTCACACTCGTAGTCGAAGATTTCGTCTCTGTTGTAGTCGAGGTTGATCTTGATTTCGTAGTAGAACTTTTGATATTCGGACATAAAGCTGCAATGATTCCACCACCTTTGACGATTCCTAATAATGTATTGGAAGCTACATTATCTTTCGAACAAGCATTGCTAACACATGTAGCTTTTGACGTTAAGGCTGATTGGCAGTCGAGGGAACACCCATCATTGAAGTCTGATAGTTTGCAGTCTGAGATTGCAGTATTATATTCCGCAAAGCAAACCAATGAAACTGCAGTTGGTGAGACTAATTGGAAGTTTGCAAGTGACAAGGCGTTTGTAAGACGTAGAATACAGAATAAGCAAGCCATAGTCGTTAAAAGATGCCGCCGCATCTTGAATTGATTGGTGATATCTCTGCAGACCTTCAGGTCTTGTAAGAAAAAAAACGTTCGAATGTAGCCCAAACCTGGATCACCGTCCTGGTGGAAGTCTTGAGTTGAACGATGTATCCAATAATAAGATCGTAATGATGATCGGAATAATGCTCTCCAGACCGTTCGTGTTGACGGGAGTTGAAAGAGTTTGCCAGGTGTTGAAAACTCGGTCACGTTTGAGATCCTTCGTGTGTACTGGATGATCCGACTCAACACACCCACAATAGCCTGCTTTCGCGACGTAATCTGTCTGATACAACCCAACCGAGCGGTGGATTTTACTATTTTGAAAAAATAATGATGCTATTTGAAAAGGTAGTTCGCGCCAGAACGGTACCTGCCGACTGATGACGCAGTTCTAGAGAAGAAAGGGAGGGAAAAAATGAAATTCCGATGTTCTAGTGTTTGGTCTCCGTTCCGTTCTAGCGATGAGCTGTTCATTCGATATGATGTGGCAACGGCACTATGCATAATGAATGCTGGTGCATCATGACAGGAACGCAAAGAGAGAAAAGAGATGCAATAAGAAAAGATATTTCCAGAGAAGAAACAAAGGGCGAGGAAACAGAGGAATGAATATATGAGAGGTCAAAGTATAAGGAGTAATACAATCAACGGGAAAAAGACGATCAAAGGAGCAAGCTGATCAAACACTCCGGGAGAAAGGTAATAGGTAAAGGAAGGGAACCTACATCATTGATTCGACCTTGCGAGTATCTGAATCCAGCCTTTCAATACAGGAATACCGTGGCTTATAAGAATTTGACCTGAATGCAACACGGCATTGGATGAAGCGCCATTTTCATCGTCTAGGCACAGTCATCTTCTCACCCAATGGATAGAAGCAAAGCGTTTGGAAAAGAGATGGGAATGGAATAGACTTTGTGTGGTTGTTTGCCTATGAAACTTGTGAAAGGGTTTCATGGTTTCACTGTATGGTGGAGTGTGAAAATAGTATGAAGATCCATTGGATAATGAAATGGTTCATGGGTGTGATAATAATAATACGCTTCGCCCAAGTAGAATGTATTCCTGGAGCTGAGGCTGATTCAGCTTTAGATATATATAAGAATGGCCGATTGAAATTAGACAACTGAAGTGAGGCTTTGATTAGAATATTGAGGAATATATAATTACAATGGATATGGAGATAGACTAATCACGTAAGATATGTTATGAAAGGAAAATGATGTGAGAATCTGACGATGGAAGCAAACCCCTCGTTTACCGAACTGTCTCTATCAAAATACTAATCCTACCCCACATCATCACCAAATTTCCATCCGATTACCTCATTGGTCCAACACATAAATAAATTCAGCCTTCAATCCAGCCTCGCCGACGAGGTCTCAAAAAACATACAACAAGCCATCAATTCCACCGCTCAAGTCCAATATCTACCCAAACCTCCATTCTTCCTTGGAAATCTCATGCCCCAAGTTTCCTCTCGCATTGTACACTGTCAATTGTCTATCCATCCCGTCTTATCCCAAATCCCCAACTCACTTCCTCCTATCACCCCGTCCCTATATATCCAAGCACACCATACCAAAACCCCATCTATCCAACCCCGAATCTACACACCCCATCACAATGGCCTCCGAACCCACCACACCTGTGCGCGTATCAAAAAGCGCCGCAAACTACACACCCACAACCCAAGATGCGGATTTGCGCTCGCAGATAAATTCTATATTATTAAAAGATGGCCATGTTGCTAAGTATGTCTTTGCCCCCGCCCTCTCTCCTTACAATCCAAACCCCAACTAACCTCTCCCCTCAACAGAATCCAAGAAACCCTACTCCACTCCCTCCACTCCTCTCCCACAAACTGGCCAACCCTAATCCAAAACCACGCGCTTTCCCTCATGCGTTCGGGACACTACACTACATTCCCGCTACTGATCGCCAAAGTACTTGAAGACATCCGTGCCGATACAATTGCACTTACTTCATCCGACCCCTCTAACTCATCCCCTCACGCCTCCACCAACGGATCTTCAGACAGAAAGGAAAAGGAAGCAAAAGAAAAAGATGCCGCGCCCAAAGGAAGAGGTGAAAGAGGACAAAGTCTCGCGTTGCCGAAAAGTGTCGTGGATGAAGGTGTGAGGATCACGAGGGAATCATTAGAAGCTGTTTGTGAGGTTGTGGAGTGAACCCTCGAACGTCTTTGGGGTTGTTGCATTTCTGGGAGTTGAGTAAGGAGGGGTGATGAGGAATCAGCATTGGCGTAAAGAGGAGACGAAGAAGCGGGGAGGGATATATATCACTGGTGGCGACCTGCATTTGTTCCGGGATCCCCTCGATACAAATACAGACATCTAAAGAAAGGAATTGGTGGATTCAATATGGATGCATGGGCAAATTGGAATCGACTTCCAAAAAACTTTCCCAGATCCGCTTCTATTATTTACATCATTTATCAAGATAGCACGACACAGTTGAAGCAGAGATGAGGAACTGATGTATGGGTGGCCGTTATGTAATATCTTCATTCTATGTAATGAGTGAACCACCTGTGGAGTATACTAGGAGTTTAAAAGAACCATTGGGATTTGGGAATGACGAGGGATTACAAGGCCGGGAATCTGGGCGTATACGTCAAATTTACATTGCACAAAAGAACCATGACGAATATCATGTAGAATAGTCGAGGCGCCATGCATACTCAAGCGGCGTTTCTAGGATTAAAAATTTATCTTAATAGGTCTTTACGGATCATGACATCCTCTACCAATCACTTCACTCAATATGCATTCGAGATCGGATTGTAATGAAATTTGTTTTTATAAGGTATTCTATGCTAAGGGCACCACCTTGGCCACATATCGCCATGAATGAAACTCTCCATACCTCTACCAACCCTTCATACAATGACTTTTAGGGGTCATGAATGCAACTTTGATCTGCAGAAATCTCTAGACTCTACATCAAAGTCCACCGGGTCAAATGCCCTCCCAATCGTTAGCTCCTCATGTATGCTGTAAAATGACGTAAAAATATGATATTAAGAGTACAGATTTAGTCGTAAAGGCTGTCGTCGTTTCCAGCATCACCAAATCCACCAGCACCTCCTCCATTAGCCTCGGCGGCCTCACCAGCTTCTGGGAACTTGAAGAAAGCACCAGGCCCAGAGCTCTTCATGCTCTGAGCGAATGCCTCATATCGGCGGATTTCGACATCAGAAACGGATCGTCTGGCTTGTGACATGGCCTCTTCGAAATGAGCCTTGGTCAATTTTGGAACTGGGTCCTCAACATCCTCTTCCTCCATGTCAACGTCACCACCAGCGGCCTCGAGAGCCTTGCGGCGTTCGATATCCAAAGAAATAGATTCCTTGATGGCGAGCTTGACGGCACGTTGGGTGATGAATCCCAAATCAGCACCAGAGAAGCCGTGAGTACGGGATGCAATGTAGCTGAGATCAACATCATCGGCGACTGGAGTCTTTCTGAGTTGTGCCTTCAAGATACCAGCACGAGAGCTCTCGTTGGGAAGTGGAACGTAGACAAGGGTGTCAAGACGACCAGGTCTGCAAAGAGCGTTGTCGAGTTGCTCAGGTCTGTTGGTAGCACCAATGACGAAAACGTTCTTTTTCGAGGTCATACCATCCATTTCTATGTCAAAATTAGCCTCCACTCACACATGCTAGAAACAAGAACAGACTTACCAGTCAAAAGTTGGTTGACAACACGGTCAGAAGCTCCACCAGCATCGCCGTTAGATCCACCACGAGACTTGGCAATAGAATCAAGCTCATCGAGGAAAACAACACAAGGTGCGGCAGCACGAGCCTTGTCGAAAATATCTCTGATGTTAGACTCAGATTCACCGAACCACATACTCAGCAATTCTGGACCCTTAACGGAAATGAAGTTTGCAGAACACTCGTTGGCAACAGCCTTGGCGAGTAAGGTCTTACCAGTACCAGGAGGACCGTAAAACAAGACACCACGAGATGGAGAAAGACCGAACTTGAGGAACTTTTCGGGGTGATCGACGGGGTATTGCACGCTCTCGATGAGCTCGCGCTTGACCTCTTCCAATCCTCCGATGTCGTCCCAGCGAACGTTTGGAACTTCGACAACTGCAACTTCACGAAGAGCAGATGGGTTGGAAACACCGAGAGCGAAACGGAAGTTGTCCATGGTAACACCAAGGGAGTCGAGAACCTCGGCGTCGATAGTATCTTCATCAAGATCGATAAGATCCATCTTTTCACGGATTTGCTGCATAGCAGCTTCGGAGCAGAGGGAGGCAACATCAGAACCGACGTAACCGTGAGTCTCGGAGGCGATTTGCTCGAGATCAACATCATCACCCAACTTCATGTTCTTGGTGTGGATTTGAAGGATTTCAAGACGACCGGTTGGATCAGGGATACCAATATCGACTTCACGATCGAAACGACCGAAACGACGGAGGGCAGGGTCGATGGAGTTAGGTCTGTTTGTGGCGGCCATGACAACAACGTTGGATCTAGCCTTCATGCCGTCCATAAGGGTAAGCAATTGCGAGACAACACGACGTTCGACTTCTCCGTTGGTCTTGTCACGCTTTGGGGCAATAGAGTCGATCTCGTCGATGAAGATGATCGCAGGCGAGTTCTTCTCAGCCTCTTCGAAAGCCTTGCGCAAATTCGATTCGGATTCACCGGCCATCTTTGACATAATCTCGGGTCCGTTGATCAAGAAGAAGAAAGCACCGGTCTCGTTTGCAACGGCTCTGGCCATGAGTGTCTTACCAGTACCTGGTGGACCAAACATGAGAACACCACGAGGAGGCTTGATACCGATAGACTTAAATAGTTGGGGATGTCTTAATGGCAACTCAACCATCTCTCTGATCTGTGCCATTTGCTTTCTGCATCCTCCAATGTCGTCGTATCCGACCTCGTTCAAATTGCCTTCTTCGTCTTCACGCTGGATGGGCTCTCCTTCGCAGTGGATGACTGTATCTTGGGCTACGATTCCGTACTCGGGAGGGTCGACTTCAACTACCTTGAATTCAACTTGTCTCATACCACCACGAACTGTGAAAAGATCGCCTTGTCGTACAGGTCGGTAGGCTTCGCGGAAATATGGTGCTAAGAAAACATCGAATAAAGATCCGGTGAGACCTTCGACAGTATCGGCAATAGGAAGGACTGCAATGCGCTTGGCCTAATGACATATTAGCATCTTGGAGATGTCCGCAGACTCTTAAATACTCACATATTTGATATCCGGACATGGGTGAACGGTAATAACGTCACCGTGCTTAACACGGAGGTTATGTCTAACAACACGGTTCATACGTGCGCTTCCGTCATCGAGATCATCATCAGCAAGAACAATGAGAACAGTGTCCTTGCGCTTCTTTCCCTTGACTAAAACGGTATCTCCACGGAACAATTGTAAAGTTTCCATGGTATTGTTGGAGAGAGCGATAACAGAGTTATCATCGTTGATAGCATCAGTAACCCTGTTGCCACCGCCTGTCAGTTCAGATCTTCGGTCGAGGTGGGGTGTTTGCTCGATATACTCACATCAACGAGTTTGGCTTCTTCTTCTTCTTTAAGATGGCAGTTGCAATATCATCATTCTATAATTTGCAGATTTAGTTAATTTTTGATCTTGATTTTGTTATCGTCATATATAATGGCGGTTGGTGGATCAACTTACGCCTTTGTGCTCAGCACCAGATGCATCACTAGCCATGATGTCAGTATTGCGTCTTCTCCAGGTAATGAACTGGCAGATGAAGATATACTTACTTGAGATTGACCTTCTTCTTGTGCTCGACGTGGTCGGGTTCAGCAGACATTTTGATAGAGGGTTGACCTTGACAGTCGTAACAAATGATCAGTTCTGTTTGTAAATAGTCCTTTCAAATGGCGATAGAGTTTAAGATTAAAAGAGACTTTATCAAAGTAAGAAAGAAGAGGTGGATGAAAGATAGATTGGACTTTCAGAAAGGATGGATAGATGGATGTTTTTGTAAGAATTTATGGAAAGAAGAGGTTGTGTCGGAGATCAAGACAGCTCTAAGATGGCTGTATTAGTTAAGGTAGCGTCGTTAGAATATGACGGAACCGCACTAAATTTGGTAGGTTGAGCTTTTGAATCTTTCTATTGGTTTCTTCCGCTTAAGCACAGCTCAGTAAACGTAGTGAGTTGGGTGAAGGCGACTACTGGTTGGGGTAAAGGTAAAATAAAAATGGGTGAATAATCGATAACGTAGGAGCGTATCCAGGCAACGAGAAGGCCACGCATATATAAATTCAATGCCTGGTACGGCAATAGTATGATCAATAATAAGTCAGCCTCGCATGGCAAAGAATGTCATAGAATCCCTTGTATGTATTGGTTGGTTGGTTGATTGATTGATTGATTGATTGAAATAAAATTGATTCTAAATGTATTATTGTATAATGTGGCTTTGCCTCTTACTCGTACATTTATTATTATTGGAACATTGACAATATTGATAACTACTAAGGTTAGGTAGGTACTAGGTGCACATTTCATTTCATTCATTTCATTCATTTCATTCATTTCATTCATTTCATTCATTTCATTCATTTCATTCATTTCATTCATTTTTACCTTCAATATCTACCTATCTTTACCTATAACCCGACAACTACAAACAACTCTATCAGGACAGCTATGAAGCTCAAAACACATCCCCGAACTACCCAGATCCGACAACACCTATGGACCCGAGTCACGAAAGGCCACTCACTCACTCAACATCAGTATTCCCCAACATGTCAAACACACATCAATAGGTTCTGAACCCTAACATCCGACTGTGAAACTTTTGGGGTTCCTTGGTCTTCCCATCTATTCCATTCGAGTTCGTCGGCAACACCTGTAGGACGAACAACCAGCCTGCGATGCCGATCCGACGGTACACTAGAGAGAAAGGCAAACTTCTCCCGCAGTACTACATATATACATATAAGACAAATATATGATGCCACCCACGCCTCTTGTATAGCCCCAAAGGCGAGAAAGGTCTATTTATGGTTCATGTGTTCTGGAAAGTTCTAGAACACCTATTGATGGTAAATATGGTCTGCATGATCTGACGGGATGTCTACACTTGGTGATTTGAGAATAACCATACGTTGGTTGGTGATGTTCTCAAGGGATTGAGGGATTGAGGAAGTAATAAGTGCAGGTGGTCAGATCATACTTTTTCTTCCTTGCAAAAGTGAATAGGATTTTCTTCACGATCAATTGTATAAGCATTTCACATTGAAGAGTATCAATTATTCCACTACCGTGGCGAACGAGGCCCTACAAATTCCATCCAGTCTCATTCTATGATTGGAGGATTAACCGTCGTAGAAGATGAGGTGGAGAGAGGGCAGAGTGGAGCACTCGACGTACGTACATGTAGTGTGCTTGCTTCCTCTATGATCCGCGCGCTTATTTTAGAGGATGATGGGAGAGGCAAACAATTCGGTACAGCCAATCTACTAGGCACTCATATTATCGATGAGGCTATGACACTGTGCACGAGGATTGCGTGGACAAATCTTTATTTGGGGGAAGGATTAAATTTATGGTTGAAAAGGGGTTAATGGGACAACTCTTGCTTTAACAGAAATCAGCATCTATGTAGAAATATATACCGTACCTATTTCATCTGTCAAACATATCACACTCCCAAATTTGAAAACCGCATATTAGAAAGAGAAGAAAAATGATCATATTCATTGAATCCTCTGAGTATAGTATAGCAGCGCCCTAGAACTCCCCGAACGACTCTCCACGAGCTCGAGCCGGAGATTCTATAAAAAAACACCCATGCAAAGTTCAAGAAGGAACCAAAACCAGTCTATCCCGAAAATTCGTTATTTGTTACACGCGCTCCTCATTCCCGTCTATCCCGACCAGCCCGCCCATTTTCTTTTTTAACCCCCTCTCTCTAACCATCTATTCTCTAGAAACATCACGACCGAAAGTCTTAGACTTGAGCCAATCGAGAACCACCAAAACACGATTGCGCGCTAGAATTCATGTTAGTCAAAGTGAATGAGAGACAAGGGATTGGTAAAACTCACTGCTGAAACACATGCTCAAGTATGCACTTCTCCAGAACAAATATGTCAAATTACCACCGGTAGCAAAATTACCATTTAACCAGCTAACATCTGCAACGGCTCTTTCACTACCAATGTATGCCAAGGAACCTTGATGTGTGTAGTGGAACGGCTTGATATCCTTAATTCTTCTCAATTGCTTCTCATGTGCTTCAATATCCTTGGCGACTTGGGCGGCGTTTCCAGGACCAAGGTTCAAGGATGAACTCAACTCTTGGATTTCATGTTCGATGGTATCGGTCTTTGCCATGGTGTTAAAGAGACGGGCTAAGAAAGCTCCTTCTTGTGATGCTACTTGAGCTGTTGGTGCATATCCTGCAACTGCGCAATCACCAGTGGCCCAAATATCCTTGGTTCCTTGAACAACGAGATATTCGTTCACGGCGAGACCTCTCCTTGAGTCTTTTTGGGCGGGGATTTGTGCCATGAGATCCTTGACAACAGGGCGGACGGCGTTACCGGTGGCCCAAACAAGGAGACCGTAAGGCATGACCTCAGTGAACTTCTTTCCATCTGGTCCAGTGGCCTCGGCTTCGACGGTCTTATCAGTGACCTTCTTAACGGCCGTCTTAGTCTTGATAGTAATCTTCTCTTCCTTGAAAGTTGACTCGGTGTATTCGATCAATTGCTTGGAGAACATAGGAAGAACATTTGGAAGAGCTTCGATGAGAGTAACCTTGAACTTGTCGCTAATTTCTGGAACCCACTTCTTAATATCTTGATCGAAGAAATCTTGAAGCTCACCAGCGAATTCGACACCAGTAGGTCCACCGCCAACGACAACCATGTGCAAAAGACGTTCAACTTCCTCTGGAGATTGGTCCTTGAAAGTGGCAGTCTCTACACAATCCATAATCTTCTTTCTGATTGCTTGCGCGTCACCGATCTCCTTCAAGAAGCAAGAATGCTCTTTGACACCAGGAATTCCAAAAGTTGCATTTTCTGCACCAACACTGACGACCAGCATATCGTATGAGACCTCGGTTGTGTGGGAAGCTCCTTTCACATCAGAGTTGTCGTTGATGGAGATAGTCTTCTTCTCGGGGTCAATTTTAGTGGCTTCGGCTTCGTAGAATTTGACAGCAGCTTTCTTATGTCTGGTTATGCTTCTGATAGGCTCCATGATAGATCTGTGCTCGACGGTACCGGTTGTGCATGATGGCAAAAGAGGGGTGAACAGGAAGTAGTTTCGTGGGGAGATAACAATAACATTGTAGTTTTCCGTGTCGAGTTTCTTCAAAAGAGAAACAGCACCCCATCCAGTACCTAGCCAATTGATGTCAGCTATCCATATGGAAAGTGGAGACACGCATTGTGCGTACCAAGAATGACCAAGTTTTTCTTGGTTGGATCTGGCTGGAATTGCTCCTCTGGATGTCGAAGTTCCCAAACTTCATATCCAAGATAGGCGGCCCCTCCGATCAAAGACAAGTATGTGAGACGCCAACTATATCTCAAGAATCTAAATCGCTTTGGCTTCTTGACAGTAACAGGAGCGACATCTGCGTAAGTACGTTGAGCAATTTGGGAGATTGCAGTCTTGTTGACATTGACTCTGGCATTGGGTCGCGCACTTGAAAGAAGGACCCGATTTGATGTCGCATATGATCGTTGGGCGATAGTTCGAAGACCAACAGCTGAAGTCGGCAACCTCATCATTCTTGTCGCTAACGCCATACTCCTAAAACTCCTGAGATGGAGGAGGTGAGGATTGTAGGGGAATGCGGAGAGTAATGGAGAAGTGCAGTGGAAGTCAGAAATATCAAATAATCAAATTGAAAGGGAATTTTTATTTTGATAAAAGCTAGGATTCGGATTCTGAGCTAAAATTTACAGGGATAAAATTACGCACCGGAGCCGATAGAAAGATAAGCTCAACTTTTTACCAACGCTTCATCAATAATTGGAATTGACATGCGCCCAAATAGAAAACCTCGGAATCAAATGCAAATTGACCAAGAGAAATTCCTCTGGAATAAATCGCTCACTCATACCTGGGTATACTTATATCGCAGCGTCTTTGATCTAATGCCTGTTGATCAATTGATCTTCTTCCTCGATCTCAATTATAAGCATGTGTTCCAGGACAGCATGGCAGGAAAAGAGGTCAAACAGTCATGAATGTGTCTACATATTACCAAAGGCATGATGAGGGCTCAGGGCACACCTACCTACACATGGTATATTGAAATTGTGCAATCGTGGGTCTGCTTAGGTGGTACTTCGGTGGCACTGCGATGGAGACCACAGACTATACTTTTCTTCACCACTGGTATTCGAGGAATGTCAATTCGTTTTGTAAGATTTGGTATGTGGAGTCCGCCACCAAAATCAGACTCTTCAACGGGGTTCAACGCCCTATCTTTACTATGGTTCATTATACCTCGTACCTACGAGTAGCACTTGGCCAGATTCAAAAGATGCCCTGAAGTAGCAATTCGGATGAAATTATCCCTTACACAGGTTAGAGTATGTATTGTTCCTACCCAGTACTATCTCCTACGTATGTACTGAACATTGTACCAGTCATTCTCGGGTTGTTCGGAGATTTTGGAGAGTTTACCGGATTTCCGAACCACCGAAAGTGACAATGATGATTGGACAAACCATGCCATGCCGAGTCTTGGGAAACTGGCGTTCTCCAATTCATTAACACAGAAAGGTTCATCTAATGCGTGCTTGTGAGGCGAGAACGGTCATCTCCTCTGGGTGAATCAAATCGTCATGATTTAACGGTTTTAGCGAAAAAGAACGACCGTCTAGCATCTACCAATACCTACAGAGGCACATTCTCATACATCCTTTTTAGATCCTTTCGAGTCTGTTTGTGGTTCTCTAACCATACAATAGATATTGCAAGTATCGCCTTCGTCGTCGCAAATCATCTTCTTTTCAAAATGGAATCCGAAGGTTTCGTATATCTTCATGTTGGGAACATCCCGACTAGATTCAAGATAGCATCTTTTTCCTTCTGCGTCAGCAATTCTAGTTACTTCCTTTGCTAGCGCTTTTCCGATTCCTCTTCCTTGAGCGTCGGGATGAACGACCATTATATTTAGAAAGTAGTATCCTCGGGGATCGGTCCAAATATTAGATTGGGCTTCTGCTTGCCTGTCCTTCCAGATGTAATAACGCTGTGGCGAATCTACGTCAGTATTCTTTTTAGGACTACTAATTCTCAACCTTCGAGATCTCACCCTGCACCTAATGATACCATTGGGTCATCTCATGAATCATTAAGAGGGTATGTGACAAAGATAGAGTACTTCACTGGAAATGAAGGGGAAACATTCAAAAGCGTCAGAAGTAGGGCTAGCTTAGCCATTGCTTATGACTTAGCTTCGCTACTTGTAGGACTTGGCAACGTTTGTCTAGAGTCTCATCTTCGGAACAAAAGAATCCGTCAAACAAAATTCTAGTAGAAAGCTTGAAATTCACACCGACAAAAGAAACGGAGATAGCGGCAACACAGTAAGACAAGGAGCACTCATGACTTTGAGGCACCTGCGCCAAAGGAAACGAGACAGAATGTACGGTACGTTATAGCTTGCTTACCTTCACATTTAGGCCACCTCGACCGTACCAAATATTCATACCAACTTGTTGAGCCCACATTGCCCAACTATCAATCCATTCTGCCCACGTCTCCGGCGATCCAGCAGATTTGGGTGGTAACCACATTGCAACGCCTAAAACTCTATGACTTTGAGAGTCTTTAGCAACATAGAATAAGCCGTTTCGAATTCCCCATCGACATCGAATGCCAAGAGAGACCGAGTTTCTGACTAGGTTCAGCTGTCAAAAATTCCGTGTCAGTGACGAACAAACGAGATAGTATCACGAAACACGCCTTCGTGTTGATTTCAGCTATAGGCGAATCGGAACCAACACTTGCTACGACGCTTGAAAATTCGAAGAAAAACTCTACCTTTGATCGATCATTGTAAATCCACAGGTTGTAAGGATCTTCTTTGAATGCTTCCTGAATGGTATTCACAGCTCCAGGTATGTCATCTTCCGTCAGTCGAGATATGGTGAAGTCCATTGTAAGAGATCGAATTGAGATCCAAGGAAGAAATGGAAAAGTACGATGGTGAATGATGTGGGTTAAGAATTTTATAGCAGTACTAGGTATTTACATGTATGTCCCAATTCTGGATATTGTGCTAGAACAATGATGGTTATCAGAGAGAAAGCTGGACACATGGATTGGTGTTCGTTATCTGTAAATGGCTACAGCCGCTTTAAAGACATGTTTTTCCCATCCTTGGCCATTCTTGCCATTGCCAGCCGTGTCGGAACCGAAATCTACTTCTGCTGAAGCCACGATACTTCCAGTGGGTGGCTGTGAAGATGGGTCTTCAATAGAGTTCGGGTTGTGAAGAATACCTACCCAGGCAATGCATTGAGATGTAAATTGCTTTATATTTGAAGATTTTTTCGTGTTTTGAATCCCATCCTAGACACCCTTCTCGTATACCTACCTAGTAGATGTCCATACGAGAGTACGAGAGGAGTAGGCATTCTCGAGGCATTGCCACATGCACCTTCATAATTCGATGATAATGATAACAATATAATAATAAATCATGAAATCAGCTTACGCTTCCCCGATCCTTTAATTCGTAATTCTCACCCTCTTGGAAGTTGGAACTTCTCAGCCCCTCCCCTCACCCATAGCTCAAATGTTAGATAACTCCCGCTACAGCAAACCGCAATCTAAGCTTATCCTTGGAAGATTACCCCTCTTTAGGTTTGGCGTTGTTAATCATCTGTGTGTACGCAGGACGGAGTAGAGGTAACCTTGGAACCTTATTAAGGTATCAAAATAGGCCATGCTATGCCATGTTCATTCAGCCTTGCGAAATCTTTGGAACCTCCGTTTCTCTTAATTCTCTCCAACTCACAAACCTCTCAGAGTTGCAACAACAAATTTATGCTCTCAATACTGTATACTCACTTTTTCAATGGCTTGAAGGTATCTTTCAGTGATTCAGAAGAATCCTAGAACGAACTTTGCTGCTGTATTTACCCTTTTTTTTCTCTCTTCCGCAGATATCAAGTGAGTCGAGCGGGTCCATGATGAAACCAGGGGACAGTGCGCGAAACACTCTCTCCGTCCCAGATATCATCAAGTTTTCCCATGCTATGTCAGTCCACCGGTCAATTCTGTAGCATGCCGTTGCGGACTTTCTGGTCGTATGGCAATGATCGGCAGCATTCTTCGTACTTCTTAACAGGGGCATCGCTCAACCTAGAGTCTCATGTCAAACGCAGTAATGCTTGAGATGCTGGGCCCTAACCTCAATATAGTCTGGACCACAGTGGAGGAGCACAATATTGCGAGTGTAGTGTAGCCTCGAAATGCCTTTTCACCTTGTGCTTGACGCATGCACCACTCCTTTGCTGTGGCTTTGCATTATGTCTATTATGTACAATTCTCGGTTGGTCCCCAGATTCAAATTCAATACATGACCATTCCGAGAGTAGCATAGAACGTCCAACTCCTTCAATTGTCTGTCCAGTGCCAAACCAGCATGTCGCGAATCTCTTCTCCACTCTGTTAGCTAGTCTCAAATCTTTCGGAGGTCCAAGATTCTCGACTTGGTTACCTCTTGGGTGCTTTCACTTGTCAACCGTTTGTTCTCTCACTCACGATCTATACACGGCTGGATCGTGACGTTCTCTCTTTGATCAATATTCTCAATCAGATCTGGCATCTAATTCTCACACTCACTCTGTTTCTACAACGACGACGACGACGGCAAAGACAACGAATAACACTCATCAGTTCATGTCCGTATCCAACTAGCTTCTGTCGGTCGGCGATACGGGGCAGCGGCGACTCGGCGGAGGAATGAATACGACAATGGCACCAATGAGAGATCAACCAGAAGAGTATATGAACCGACTGGTTCAAAGGAATATTATGTTAGACGATCTTCAATTAGCAAAAAGGGTTAGGAGAGTCAATGATAATGGGAATGGGAATGGGAATGGGAGAAACAGCGAAAGGGATGATTATGATAGCGACGACTGCAGCAACGATTGTCCAGATGAACAGGTCGATGGCTCACGAATGCCTACACCCGTGGTCACAAGGACTGCGTGGACCCAAATAACAAATACTGCCTGGACTACACAAACTGCCACTACCTGGACCACGCAAACTGCGATCACTACTTCATCAAGTGTGATGACTGTCGTTGTTGTTGCTACACCAAGCTCCACATCGACGTCGGCATCTTCAACATCGACTTCAGTGAGTTGGGACAGAAACTTTGTGTGAGTGGGTGTACTGACTATAGACAGATATCCATTACGTCTGCCACATCTTCATTGCCAACAGGGGCTGTCGCATTCAGCATACCAAGCTCAGAGCAGCCTGGAAGGAAAGGGTTATGTACCCTTTCCAATGGAGCTCCATGTGAAAGTGCTACGGCTACCACATCTACTGTCACTGCCTATCAGGCCATCAGTGCAAGCTCTGCGCCGACTGCTCAAGCAGATGAAGATGGGTCATCTCCTTCCGACATACCACCTCAATTTCGCCACGGAAATGATGGCGATCTTAGTCCTTTGGCAGAGAAGCTTCTAATAAGTGCTGGGTCAATAGGTTTGTGTTTCAAGATGGCGTGATAACTAACTGTTACTGACCT